TCTTGGACATAATGTGCACAGTTGTTGAAGACTGTGTCTCCTTGATTCCCACTGCCCCGAGTTTCTAAAGGGATGTCTCTCTGGTCCATGATTTCTGCTAATTCTCAAGTATTGTTTTGACTTGTGTCCCTGGTTATCTTTTATTGTATGCTAGACATCATATTTGTAAATTATTATAGAATAATTTAAAGCTTAAGGTATTGTCTTTCTCCAGGGAAGATTTTATTTGCAATGCTGAGCAACTCAAGACATAAGAAGTCCCAGGCTGTCTTAATCCACGTTGCAATTGTGAAGTCCTCTGGGGCATCCCAGACTGACTTACTCTCAGCTCATCCTTATTCTTGAGTGGGCTGGACCCCAAAATGGAGAGTGGCCTGCCTGGGGCCCCAGTCTTGGCCTGCCTTGGGTTTGACTTTTGTTCCCCTGCCCCAGGAGGCACACTTAGCCCAGTCTCTCAGGACCTCCATCCCTCCACAGCAGGAGGCACCTTGATGTGTGGCTCATCTCTCTGGGTTCCCACTCTCTCCTGCCTGTCAGCCCTGACAGTTGCTTACTCTCTTGATGTTTGTATTTGTCTCTTTTTGTTAGTTATTTTCATCAGAAAGGTAGATCTGTAGCTCACCCTTGCTGTATGTGGAAGTTCTTCCTATGTATATGAAATAGGATGCCAATTGAGAGTGGCCGTCCTTCTCTTATTCCTGATTTTTAGCATGAATGCCTCCAGGGTATACTCTCATCAGGTAAGATGCTGCCTTCTGAGCCAATACATCTATTTTATCATACTAAAGAAGTATTTATTCATTTAATTGACTGAATAAACTATAAATAAAATGCATCCCCATTCTAGGGAGCTCATAGCCCAGTGGATGAGGCCGGGCTATAATGAACTGTTGCTTCTACATCCGGTTATAGCACAGATGTGACCATTTCTTCCCATCTCCACACATGCCACCTGCCTGACTGCTGTTGGCTCCCACATGGCTCCCTACTTCCACTTCTACTGCCCCAAACCTGGTCTTCATACAGCAGCCTGAGTGCACTTTTCATTTCTCTTCTACACATACAAGAAATCAGTAGTAGAATGATGGTACCCAGTACACTTTCCTCTATAGTCAACGGTTGTTAACATCTTGTCCTATTTTCTTTCACTTCTCCCATCACTGGAAGGTGAGCTGAAGACATTGTCACACTCTACCCTGCAGTACTTCAGATGTCTCCAAAACTAAAGGCCACAATACTATTTTCATGTAACTATCTAAAAACACCTAAAATCAATCAGTCCTGAGTGAAATTTCCAAATGTGTCTTTTAAGTTTTTTAAAATAAGGATCGAATCAAGCATCATGCATTGCACTTGGTTGTCATAATTTTTTTTTATATAGATAGTCCCCCTATGCTGTTGTTTTTAAAATGACATTGGCCTTCTAAAGCATCAAGGCCCGTTTCTTGTGAAAAGTCCTCCCTTGTGCATTTGACTGCCTCCTGGTGGTGTGTTTTTACTTATTCTCGTATCCCCTGCATTTTGTCACCTGGAAGATAGGCATGTGGCTACACTGCCCCATATGTTAGCCACATGTGGCTATCAAGCATTTGAAAGGTAATAACTCTGAATTGAGTTGTGCTTTAAGTGTAAAATACACACCAGATTTCAAATACTTAGTACAAAATAATGTAAAATATTTTATTATGTGGATACTGATTACATGTAGAAATAATATTTGGATATATTGGGTTAAACAAAAATTATTAAAAGCAGTTTTTTTACTTTTTAAAAGTTACATATGTGAGTCACATATTTTATTGGATGGCTTTGGTGGGGAGGTCAGCTAGATTCCATCAAGCCCTTAGGAAGGGGGCTTCACAGGCGGGATTTGTCCTGGAGTCAGTTGCCCTCAGTGGGGATGGGGCTGGTCACTCAGTAAAGGTGGTAGCTGCCAGATTTCTCCAATGCAAAGGCACATTTTTCTCTATAATTAGTAAGTCCTTTGTGGTGGTTCCCTATAGTTCTCTGGAACTCCTCTCTGAGGAAGAGCTTTCCTCCCCCATACCACAACCACTACCTCCTTTCCTTTTCTTCTCTGAATCTTAAAAATTATATGTTGTAACCAGTTTCATCATTATTCTTTTGTTGAAGCTTGAATGGTCCCCAGTACAACAGAAGCCCCATCGAGCTAGCTCCTGTGTCCCTTTGCCATGACCCATCATTTCTTGAGCACTTTCTTATTTTATGTCACAACAAGATGTTCCCAGCCCAACCCTCCCTCCTCAAACCTGGAATCAGCCACTTCTCTAAGGAGCCCTGACTCCTTTTAGTAGAAAACGGTATTTACAAACCAAGAGCTGGGTGCCAGGTATGCTCATCGCTGTGGGGGTGTCATTGCTTCTGGGCCTTTCAGAGCACAGAGCTGGGGAATTAGGAACTTCTATCTCAATTCAATTCTTTAATTCCTTTTTATTGTAGTAAAATACACAGAACATAAAATTGACCATCTTAATCATTCTTAGTAGACAGTTCAGTGGCAGTAGGTACATGCACATTATGCACCTGACTCAAATTTGTACTGCAAGATTTTGATGTCTTTAAAATGCATCTCACAAAGAATGTAAAGTCAGAGTACCTCTCATTTTTCCCTGTGATCCTGTTTCCTTCTTGTCTACTTCATTTTTGTCCTTGGCTGATTTCACTCCTCTTCTCTATAACCCCTGACTATACTTTTGGTCATAGGCTCTACCTCTCGGAACCTGGGTAATTTAGTATCCATGAATGAGATTGAAGATCTTCTTCAGTATCTGTCCTTGGTTCACTCATCTCTCATTCCATATCTTCATGCTAACTCCCCATTATTCAGATAATTAGGATTAGAGGAGGTCAAGAGGGTGGACCCCCCATGACTGGGTTGTAGTGCCCTTGTAGGAGTCATGAGAGAGCTTGCTTCCCCTCTCTGCTCTCTGCCTTGTGAGGACAGAACTGTGGGAGATGCAATTCTGTTGTTTATAAGCTTCCTGGTTCAGGTGTTCTGCTACAGCAGCCCAGATGGGCAGTGCCCTGGTTATTGGTAGTTGTATGACTAGACTAAAAACATCAGAAATGCTATGACCATGTATGTGATTCACTGCTAAAAGCTTCAGCCCAGGGAGGGAATCTTCACCTGGCCTTGGGAGGAGGCTCAGGAAGACTTCTTTAGGATATCTGGCCAGCATTGACTGCTGTATTAATAAATGAGGTCTAGGTGAGGTGCAATACTCCTTCCTCTAGGAGAGCTATGTTCTTTCCTGAGCAAAGACTCCAAAGTCCAGTCGTTTTCTCATTAGATGATCAAGACTGAAAATTTCTATTTCCTATTTAAAAACATGACTTAAGGAGCTACTGGACCATGACACATGACAAACAGATGCACAGTACCCCCAGCACACACAGCAGGCTCTCCGTGGGGCTCCTCGTCCCGTGGAGAAGGGAAAGAAATGTGTCCTAATTCAAAGAACTTCACTCACACTCAGCTGCCTGCAGTTAAAAGGAATAGCACAATGGAGCAGAAGAGAAAGAGGCCAGAGCCTGCTGGACCAGAGGTCCTCTGAGATGGGCTTAATTCAGAGTCGGGATCTAAGAGAAGAGATGTCAAGATCTTGAGATGTCAAAGAATGAGCCACAGTGAAACTTTTCTTACTCCATATGCCTCACTTTGTAGATGATAAACCACAGAGCCAGGAGGGGAGGTGGCATGAAATCACATGTTGTGCCTGCATCACCACGTCCTGAAACTGATGCTCTAGGTAAGGTGAGCACTAAGGGGAAACTGAGTTAGCAACTCAAACGTAGTACACTCATGATTCAATAAGAACCTAAGACAGGACAAGCAAAGATTAGACTAACCAGGATTGGTAAGAACCCATGGAAACAGGACTTCCAAAAACTGTTACTTATAATAAATTATTAATCACTTTTCTGAAGAGGAATGTGTAATTTGGCAGCATCCATCAAAAGATTTAAGTACACAAACCATCTGAGTTAGCATATACTTAAGAGTGCTGCCCTAGGGGCATTCTTAGATAAACATTCTAAGACACATGGAGACACAGAGATGTCATTGAAGCAATATTAATATCACAAAGATGAAACAGCATAAATGTCCAACAATAAGGCATTGGTAGAAATATTCATACTTTTATATACTAGGATAATGCCAAAAAGCCATTAAAAATGACATGTTCAGGAGGATGTGGAGAAACAGGAACCCTGTGCAGTGTTGGTGGGAATGCAAACTGGTGCAGCTGCTGTGGAAAACAGTATGGTAGTTCCTCAAAAAATTAAAGATGGAACTACCCTACGACCCTGTGATTCCACTTCTGGGTATTTACCCAAAAGGATTGGAAGCAGGGTCTCAGAGAGACATTTGTACACTACACAGAACCATGATTCACAATAGTTAAGAGGTGGAAGCAACCAAAGCACCCACCAACAGATGCATGGATAAACACAATGTGGCCCATCCACACAGTGGAACATTATTCAGCCTTAAACAGGAAGGATATTCTGACCCCTGCTATAACGTGGATGAACCTTGAGGACATTATGCTGAGCGAAATAAGCCAGTCACGAAAGAACAAATACTGTATGATTCCATTTATGTGAGCTTGGGGACTCTAATCCAAAGAAACAGAGAGTAGATGGTGGGTGCCAGGAGCTAGGGGGAGGGTGGATGGTTAGTGTTTAATGGGGACAGAGTGGCAGATTCACAAGGTCAGTTCTGGAGACAGATGGTGGGGACGGCTACACGACAATGTGAATGTACTTAATGCCATGGAACTGGACACTTACCAATTTTGAGAGGGTACATTTTGTGTATGTCTGACCACAGGAAAAATAAAGAAATAAAATAAAGAAAATACTTTAAAAATAAAGAAAAATATTTTGTTTCTAGTGAAACTCTTCACCAAAATAAAAACCTAGTTTTTGGTAAAACTAGCAAGAACTGTTAAATGTTTTTGGTGGGAAGGGGAAATTTTAAAAAATTTTCAGAAAAGCAATTTATTCACATGGGTGTATAATATATATTCTTTTAAAATGCCCATGCAAAAAATATATAAATAAAATAAAATGCTTGTGCACCTTTTTTTTTAGTATGTAATTGTGCTTTATTTGGGGAAAGCAGATAATTCTCACAATGCAATGTTTATCTCACTGGTATACCGACTTGGTCCAAAGGAAAAGTCAGACACAGTGCTTGTAAAGAAAACAGCATTCCTCTGCCCCACTGCTGCCCATACCAGGGGGAAAGCTTGCCAGACAGAGCCGCTTTTAATCCCTTCAGCTCTTTCTTGTAAGGTTCACAGAAACTGTTCATACACTTTAATCAAGGGATTCACTGCTACCTTAAAAACATTATCACGAACCCTAAAAAAAATAAACAAACATTATCACATATGTGCCCAAAGATGTAGGTACAGGGATGTCCAACCCGTGGGTGTTTATAATAACAAGAAAGCTAGAAGCAACAATTGTTTGGATGGTTTGATAAACAATGGCCCTAAATATGCCCCAAAAGATTAAGGAGCCAGATATATTTAAATGACATGGCAAATAAATAAATAAATAAATAAATGACATGGCAAGAGATAAGTAACTACAGATGATAGAAATATAGAATAAAATGCTGATAGGAATTATCTTTGGACAGTGGGTGATATTAAAGATGAGTTTTTCATTGTGTATTCTAATTTCAAAACTCTCCTCAATAAATACGTGCTTGCTTATAACCAGAGCGGGGGGCAATGGCATAGCAATACATCAAATTCCCAGCTTGTAAAATCCTTTCCCAGATTCACTGTATCAGTCAGGATGTTTCCCTCAGGCCCAGGACGGCTCAGCTCAGACAAGCTGAAGCAGGACAGAGGACTGACTCCTGGACGTCCCTCCTGGCCAGAGCTCTGCAGGCCAGCACCCTCCACCCCATGGAGACCCAGCAGGAATGAGGTGCACAGCACACCACCACCCCTGTGTCCACATTGATAACCAAGGGTCTTCAAGGCCTCGGAATATAAACAGGTGGCAGGAATAAAGGTGATTTGGATTTTCTTTGAAACTTCCTGCAGTGTTTACCATAAGCATGCATTACTTTTCCACAATTACTAACCTATTTACTGAACGGGTAGCACCTACCAAATGCTCACCCTCACCCAGGTAGAGCACAGTCCGATCGACTTCTGCTGGTCTCACAGGACATGGCTGGAGTTGCCTCCTCCGAAGCACGCTACTGTGTGCCAGGCTGCCGTGAACATGGGTGGAGACCCAACTTTAGAAATGCTACCATGTCAACGGCACTCCTGGAAGCACTCTTGGGTGCAGGTGTCTGCCCAGGGAAACGTGACGGTGTGACAGCAACACTGAATCCAGGCACATGGGTGACCCTGGCTCACTTTCCTTTGGCCATATCATGACATCCATCAAGTTCTTGCTGCTTGGTTAAAGTCACCAAGGTCTGGCCCCTGGCTTCTCACCCAGCTCCTGCTGAAAGCCTTATGCATGTGGACACAGGAGAAAGCCCCAGTTCTGCATCTCGGGGCCACCAGTCGGCCAGTGACATGGCCACCTCTCCACAGAAGTCTGCAGCCCCCCATGGTCCTCCCATTCCTGTGGGTGCGAGCACCCTCTCCCCAAGCAACAGAGCCCACGTTCCCACCACGGCTGAGGGGCTTCACCTTCCTCTTCGGGAAGTCATGCCCGAGGGAAAGAGTTACTAGAAGGCACCACATAGCCCTGGAGGCTCACAAGCCACCACAGGTGGGGGGAGCAGCCATGGAAGGCCAACCCCTGGCCCTGGAGTGCCAGACATACCCTCTTTCAGCACATGCATAGGAATATCACAAAGACATGCACACAGGAAGACGCACACATCTGGCAGGAGAATCTTGGGGAGTGAACAGATGTCAATGTGAGTGCCAATGACACTTGGCACAATTACCTTCTGACACAGGGGCCATGCGGAGAGTGGGGACCCACCTGCCTCCCTCCCACCTCCATGAGCACCCAAGGACACTCTGGGGTGAGGAACAGGACCCTTGGCTCCAGACACTGTTGGGCTGACACTCAAGCCCACTCTTCCCCCCTCCTCAAGGGCACACGTGGCACTTGGGTCCCAGCCACAAGATGTCCACACCCGGGGATTCTGGGCATTAGGGTGGTCCTCAAGTGTCTTCTTCTTCAGTCCAGCCTTGGTGAAAACACGATTCAGGTATGAGTTTAGAGAAATCTGCAGACTCATAAGGCTTGTGTTAAGCTGTGTCACATGTTTATTGTCATTCACAGATAAGATGGATCGCTGAGCATGTGCTCCTTGGCGATGGGGTCTGGCTCTGCAGTGAGTAGTCACAGCCTCGGGGGCAGCTCTTCCTTTCCGCTGGTGCCACTGCTAATGCAGCCCTGCAACACGGCAGAGCGGCGGGTCAGTCACTTACCTAATGCAAGCCGGCTCCATGCTCTTGTGCTAGATACGAGGGTTTACAAGCACAGGGTGGGGGCACTGACGTTAGCCTGAGTTCCACATGTCCTCTTATGCTCTTCATGGTACAGAGGATGCTCAGTTCACACACACACACACACACACACACACACACACACACACACAGCATCTCAGGTTCACTTTTTGTACACTCAATCCAATTACATGACCCAGGCTGAGTGCTGAAAGGGAACAAGGCCCAGGCTCTTCCCATCAGCACCACTGTGGCATGGAGCGGCCCATCCTGCACCGTGACATTCCACAGCAGGTGTCCCTGACCAGCTCCCCTTGCACCAGGTAGGCCTCAGTGTGGAGTGTGTCCAGGAAGGACTTCCTGTGCATGGATAGACCAGCTGCTCAGGAGAAGCCCAACCCTAATTCACACTTGGCCCCCGTTCTCTGAGAAAATGTGGTCACAGTGGATGCACTCTGATGACCTTTCCCACCAAAAGCTTGTTTTTCATACTGAACAAAGATGGATTCAAATGTTAGTGGACAACCTCTGAACAGACAGGGTACAAAGCAGGGCGATCCACTCGTCCAAGGAGAAAAACCTCACTAGGAGAAAAACTTAAATACGATACTACCCTAGGAAGTCTCTCAGCGTCACTCTTCCACGTTCTGTATGAGAGCAGGCCAGCCAGCAAGGTAGCAGCAACAAAGTCAGTGGGAAGATGGAGAGCTACATGAGCTGTTCCACGACCATTCTACACCACACTCATTTCTGAGCACACATATGTGCCTCCTCACTGAGGGAGGAATCTGAGTGTCAGTGAATCAAAACAATCTTCATACCAACAGCAAATGACACAGTGAAGATTTTTCTGGAGGGGCTCAAATTGCACCATATGGCTAGAGCTCTTAAATTATGTGAAATGTCTTAATAAGAAAGCTGACAAAACAAAGTTTTTTACCTTGGTGAAATATTTCTTCTCTTTTAACACATCCCATTAAAAAAAAAAAAACCTCAAAGTAATAAAATGCTTGTTACTCTTACCCCTCTCCTGAGGAGTCTGTAGAAGAAGCCTCTCTTCTTTTTGGGAACCTGGTAATGCATTTTCTCTTCTAGATTCAACACCGTGTTTTCATCAAACTCATCTTTGTTGATGTCATTAAAACAACCTGATTCAATCATCTGTGTCCATACAAGAGTAGGACAGAGAAGAGGAGACCCCGTGAGGTCAGTCAGCCATTTCCCACCCTGTAACCAGCTCAGCACATGGGCCTCTCCAGTTCCCATCCTCTTTCCTGCTTGCTGACCTCCGCTCAGGATAGGGAAGACAGCCTCCCCCTCCTCCCTCTGAGAGGACCCCCAGAGCAGGTAAGGACCAGATGCTAGCGAGGCCCGCTTTGGAAGTGGGACCAGGATGGCCAATTGTCCCCCTCCTGTGCATGGACCAGGGCAGCTGCCTTGCATCATCTTACCTCCAAACACACACACACACACACACACACACACACACACAGATTTTTTTCTTCTGGCATCATACCCAGTATAAACCATCAGTACCTCATTCTGCCAGGGGATGGAGACACACCCTGTAGCAAATTGACCATAGAACGTGTCATCATTGGTGTCCAGGTAGACTCCTCTCACGGTAGAGAACTGCTCTATATCCAGTATGTCCTTACAGTAAACGGCTTGTGGCTGTGCACCAAGAACAAAGAGATGTGAGCCTCTGGGGGCCCTGGAATGGTTCTTAGTCTCCTTAATTATTAAGAACACAGTGCATGTGAAATCAATGCACATCTGCGGTATCTAAAGCCCTTCCCTCCCTCTAGGGAGCTCTCATCAGTCACAGGCCCCCTGGCCACCGTCTGGTCTGCAAACCTCCCGAGTCTCCCATCCTTGCCTTTCCTGCAGTGGAAGATGGGTGATGGGCAGAGGCAGGGATGAAGAGGGGCCATGCAACATGGAATCCCGCCTCTGTCTCCAACCCTTGGCTTCCTTCATGTGAAGCATCCCACACAAAGTCTAAGCAAACAACTGCAGGTCTTGCTTCTCAACTTCCTGTCAGAGCTCATCTAGTGGCTTCCAGTTGCTCCTCCTCTGGGACAAGAGCCCGGGCCTACAGCGCTCCTCACCCTGGCACTGTGGCCATGGGATGCAAGCCAGCAGGGCGTGGCCATCCTGGGCCTTGCCCTCCTCCAAAGCAGCCCCTGCACTCCTGGAAATTAGAACAGCTATTGGCCAAATCATGGTCATGCAAGAGGTGCCTGGCACTTCTGAGTAATGTCCTCCCTGCACGCCATATGATCAAAGCAGAGACATTCCGTAGGCCGCTGGGCAACACACCTCAGAGCAGCCGTTACCCATTCAGTCCCCACACAGCGGGGATGTGGAAGCAAGTAGGCCACAGTCAGAGGGTGGCCCAGAAGGTCAGGACTGAGCCCAGGCTGAAGGGCCACCCCCACCCCCACCCTCACCTTGGACAGAAATGCCTGACCTGTTAGCCCAGGGCCTCCCATCAACTGGCCCTCACAGCTCCTCTGGTTACATCCAGTAGAATACCCCAAATGTCAGCCCAGAGCCTGCACCTGGCAGGCCTTGGCCCAAGTCTCTTGAGCACAGCAAGGGGTGTGACACTGCTCCCTGGGGAAGACTGCCTTCCTGCTCCTTACAGACCCGATGGCCCATCTCCAGTCCCTGTGGTCCACAGCCATAGTCCAATGGTTGGCTCAGTTTGTCACTTGTTTCGCTGCCCGCATCTGCAGGCTGGAGCGAGGTCCATAGTGGCAAGACTGCTTTCTTGATCTCCCTATGGCCTTAATACTGCCACCTGCATCTAGCATGTAATGTGTGAACTTGTTCACAGGAAGGAGGTGCTACTACCACATACGGGGATATGAAAACATAATAAGTCTTGACGGTACAACTAAAAACACGTTAATTGTATGCCTCCCTTCCACCATGTCCTGCAGATTTATCTTATCTTCACATCTCTTTGACGTGCCGGTAGCAGACTCTCAAGGAGAGAGTCCAGACTGTTCTCTGTCCATTTCTGCTTTCCTCAACAGGAATGTAGTGCCTATAGGTGTTCCCACCAAGCACTGACTCGGACATGAGCCAGACCCTGTGCAGAGCCCTGGGGCACACCCCCTGAAGTGGCCTACAAAGCAAGCTCATAAGGAGGCTCGGCCAACCTCCAGGGCACCAGGCGTGGAGCCAGGACCTTGGAGACACAGGGAGAGCAAGGGCTTCCCAGACTAAAAGGCGGGCATGCTGACACAAACACGAGGAAGGGAACACAGCCACAGGGGAGGTCTTGGGCGGTGCTGAAGTTCTGAGCGGTGCAGAGCCAGGGTCAGCTGCTGGGAAGGCCTGTGGGGACCTGTGAGGACAGCTTGGTGAGTGGCCAGGGGCTGGAGGGGACCAAGGAGGGTGAGTGGGGCACCCCATGCAGAAGCACAGCGGGGCTGTACCACTGATCCTGTATCTGCTGGGAAGTCACTGTGTTCCTGGACCCCTTGTCTTGGGATGCTCTGCTCCTCTCTAGGCAACATACTCACATCAGGGCAGAATGGAGGATCTAACATATTCGCTTCCAGCCTCTTGAAGTTAATGTCCTTGAACACGGGGTGTCCTTTTACCTCCACTGCTCCAGCCTTGCAGCCTAGTCGATGTTTGGGATTCTTGGTGAGTAACTGTCCAAGGGGCAGAAACAGAGTCAAAAGAAGAGAGAACTTGGAAGTCTCCATAATAACAAGCAAAGAATTAGGGGTGGCAAAGAACACATCCACCTAAACAAAGTTGCTGCAATTTCAACTTTTCAACCAAACCTCCTTAATTCAGATTTCACAAATTTAGAACATATGATGCTTTCAAAAGGAGTAGAAACTAATAACAGCCTTTGAGCTACCAATAAATAGTCGGCTAAGTAAATCCTTCAGGAAAAAATCGTAACCATGTAAAAGTTAGGAGACTTTTTAAAAAGAAATAGGAACTGTCAAAAACTTCACAGATACCATTTTAATGCACAGTCATGTTTATAATTAGAGACTATCTTAATCTGTTCATTAAATAGATCACTAAGGAGCTCAGATGAGGCAAAAATTTGGCAAAGTTCTGAGTTCTAGAAGTTGTATATTCTTAAAATGAGTAGATAGCATCTCTTTCAAAAGTTTTCCTTACTCAAATATTCATAATTTTCACCAAATAGGCCTTCACCCACAATTATCATCAGTCAGAAAAGTTTAGCTGGGCTCAAAGCCACACAAAACAGGTCTGGCTCTACAGTATGGCTGGTGCCTGCTGGGGAAATGCCCAACCCCATACACAAGGTTTCACCACAACGCAGCCCAGCCCATGACTTCGGCTGTGTCTGGTGCTGCTCTTGCAGTACGGTGGTGGAGCTGACCAGCCATGTGAGGGACCCACAAAGCCTAAGAACTACTTACTATCTGGCCCCCCACGGAAAATTTTGCCAACCCTGGCCTACCCTCACCACCAGCACCCGCCGCTTTTCTGAAGAGAAACCAAAGTCCCAGGCAAAGAGCCAAGCACACTTTGCGTTGGGCTGATGTGCACTGGCCTGCACACCCTGTAGCCCTGGCTGCATGAACTCTGGATATAGCACACATTGACCTGTGTGTGCCTATGGCCTGCACACATGCCATGCCCTCTGTCTAGAAGACCCTTTGCCTGGCTGACTAGGTTTCCAGCTCACTGCCTCGGAGCATGCTTCCTTCGGACACCTGTCACTCCTGGCATGACATCAATACCAGTCTCTCCTGCTGGGCACAAGCCCCCAGAGGCAGGGCCACAGGAACTCCTGCTCACTGCGATAGCCCCAGCACATAGCCAGGGCAAGGGCTCAACAAGATTTGCTCAGTGCAGTTATTCTTGGCAATGCTTTGTTAATTAAAAGCAGATCTGAAAATTCAGTGTGATGTCAAATATAATCCCTATGTCTCCAGGGTTCCACGACTCCATCATCGAGTCTGCTGTCGACACATACCCATCAGATGGCCTTGGACTTGTGGTCAGAAAGCCTGGGTTCAAGTTCTCCACTGTTATCCCACTATGGGATGTCAAATAAAATTTTTAGGGGCACCTGGGTGGTTCTGTGGGTTAAGCTGCCAACTCTTAATTTTGGCTCAGGTCATGATCTCAGGGTTGTGGGATCGAGCCCCATGTCAGGCTCTGGGCTCAGCGGGGAGTCTGCTTGGGATTCTCTCTCTCCTTCTCCCTCTGCCCTTCCACCTGCTCATGCTCTCTCTCTCTCTCTCTCTAAAATAAATAAATAAAACTTATTTTAAAAATCAAACTCTTAATTTTTCAACTGTGAGGCTAAGAAAACACCTTAGAAGTCCACTCTCAGGATCAGATGAGGTAATATATGAGAGCTTTCAAAACCAGACAGGTGTCCACATGTCAGGCGCTACTCTGGCCACCTGTTTAGGTCAGTGTAAAAAGCTGGCACTTCCTCAGCTCTTCCTTCTGCTCCGTCGAACACAAGTGCAATACTCTGACCTCACATCACATCTGGCTCACTCACTGGGCATGGGTGCAGTATGCTGGAGGCAGGTAGAGGGCGAAGAGCCTGCAGCCCCCCTGCAAGTGCGCTCAGCACTGGGGCCCCGCCCACCATCCCTGTCCCCATGGGTACTGTCCTCTCCAAACCCCCATCCTGCTGCTTCCTGAGATGCCCTCTTCTGTAATCCCTGTTTGCTGGGATTGAACCCTGGCTCCAAGAAGCAGCTGTCTCTGCTCACAGGAGCTACTGAGGATTTGTGCATCACTAGGCACGTCACACACGCTTGTGCACTGCCTCTTCTGGCAAGCCTATGAGGGAGAATTTATCACCATCCACAGGTCAGACACAAGAAACCAGAGACTGGACAGGTAAGCCCAGTGCGGGGAGCCTAGACGATCTCCAAGCCAGAGCTCGAAGTCCCAACCCTGGTTCTCATTCAGGCGCTGCCTTCCTTCTCCAGGACCACAGCAGCACACAGCATTTCTCCATCCTGAACACCCTTGAGGCCTTGTTTCTCTCTTGTTCATGCCACCCATCAAATTCCGCTTTTTCACTATAGTTATTTTTTGTGTTTGTTCTAGGCCTGCCATTAAACTGTGAGCTCCTTAAGGGGTAGGCTCTACTTCCAACTTATATTTTTACACCCCTATGGCCCTTATCAGAGTGTCTGTGGGTCCCAAGCACCAGGTCAAATAGCAGCTTGGCCAGAATGCTGTTAAACACAGAGGAGCTGACTAACTGCCCGCTCCAAGCAGAACATGCTGGCGGGAAGGAAGGCCAGGCTGCTTCCCCTGCTTGTGACAGGCCACTAACACTCATCACTCCACACATGACAACAGGGAAGAGAAAACAAAATCGGTATTTCCAGTCACCTAAGTTACTGACATACTCAGTCACAGGTACAGAAGTTGCTGGTTTCAGCAGGCACCCACTTGGGGACCCACGGCCCTCCTCCCTGTGACCCCCTCACTGACCCATGGCCCTCTCCCAGCCAGCCCTGCTTTCTTCTTCCTGTGCCCCAGGCTTCCTGACTCTGGGGAGGAAGAGCCACAACCCCAACAGGCAGTGCTCACACTTTGCCTCCACTACACTGATTGCCCCTTGCCCTGAGTCCCCGCGCCTGCATCCTCCTATACTCCACCTGGATTCCACCACTCATCTTTCACCCCACCTCCATCTCTGTCCTTATCTCCTCCCCGCAGTGACATGCAGACCCAGGAAAGCAGCAGGCCCACGCAGCCCATCAGGTTGGGGGTGTCGATCTTGCCCATGATCCCCAACAGCTAGTTAAATAGGAAAGAAACACCGGCAGACAGAAAAACCTCACTGCTCCTGAGAAACAAGATTCTGTTTGATCTTTAGTTTCACAGGAAGCGGGTGACCTTGGCATCAGTCTCCCCTCTCAGGGGCTCCTTTTGAAAAATCAAACCACAAACTGCTCTGCTTTGCTCCTGTCAGCTGGAAGCCCAATCACGTGTTCTCCCAGGCCAGGTCACCAGGGTGGCAATTCCCATGAGTGGCTGATGCAGCAGTGGCAGCAGCTCCCCATGTGCCAGCCCAGTGGGAACCACCCCAGCCTGAGAGGGGTTCCCTCCCACCCTCTCCAGAGCCCAACCCACCATCTTGCAGATGGACTTAGAGTCCTCAGAAAACTTCTTCGAATACTCCTCAGTGTCTTTCTTCACTCTTCGTTCCACCTCCTCTCGCTTGACTTTCTCTTTGAACTTTCTGAATGGAGAATGTCCCTGAATCATTTCATATATCAGACAGCCAAGTCCCCACCAATCAGGACTAAATGTATAGTTTTCATTATTGATAACTTCAGGAGCTACATAACAAATACAGGAAATTTAAATTAAATTTTGGCTTTAAATTTTCTTGTAATTACTTCCAAATAACACATTATAAATTTAACATTTGTTACAACATGAACCCTGGAAACGTGTTAGGGAAAGAAGACAGACACAGAAGGCCCAATTCTATTTAAATAAAGCAGGCTAACTAGACAGGTCCATGGAGACAAGAAGTGGGTGAGTCACAGGGCCAGGGCGAGAGGAGATGCTGATGGGCCTGGGTTCTCATCCTGGTGGGGGTAGGTGCACAGGTCTGTGTGTGTGCTAAAATCCAATCACATGTACTCTTCAGAGTGGTGGATTTCATGGTATATGACTTATATTTCAACAAGTAGGTTTCTGGAAATAGTCTGTACTATCCCCAGGGCATGAAATGAACAGCCACAGGGTAATGAACATGGGGAACCAGGGCTCTAGGGAAGACCCTGCCTCCCAATGAGGGAGCTCCCTCAGACACACAGAGCCATGCCCAACAGCACCCAAAGGGCATTGACCCCCACAGCAGGTAACACCAGACATGGTGGCATTTGGGGTGTTACTAAAGGACTCTGCAGAGGCCCTTGGGGTCCCTCATGTCAGAGGCCACTTCTGGGTCAGTCTGGCATTGTCAGGCTGGGATCTGACCCCAGGCCAAGGCCTCCCAGTCATGGAGGCTTTGCAATAACCAGGGAACAATGGCTTCACCAGGGGCCAGAAGGGCCAGTGTGCCCGGGGTGGTGGCAGTGGCAGAGTGAGGGGCCCCAGGTCCTGTCCTGGTTCTGCCCTCACTCAGCTGTATGACCTCTGCCGGCAGGAGGGCAGATGGGAGGACTCCTCTGCGGTCCCAACACTGGCTGAGGACAGACTTCAAACACTGCCTGTGCTCCCTCCAAGTGGTTTAGAACTTTTCTGTGTTCTGAAGATGCAGGCATCCAGAGAGAGCACAAGGATGTGGAGGTAGCCTATCACATACCCATGTAGCCGACTGTACCCACTCTTCCTCGGATGGTCTCCCCTTCTGGAATCTCCATGGCTAAACCGAGGTCTGAGATCCGGATGTGCCCTGTGTGTGTTCAAGCACATTACACAAACCACAGGGGGCATGCTGACACATTCATGACAATAAATTGGTGGGGAAAAGTCTAAAATAACATTTAACTTATCCACTTTTAGTGAATACTACACAGAGCATTCAGTTCCACAAATACAATGGGAAGTTAGATTTATAGCTACTAATCAGGAAGTCCTTTAACCACAGACAATCACTTGATAAGATAGAAGCATGGTGTTTATTATTTAATTTCCTATAACTACCAAATCCGTAAATAAAATGATAATGAATAGTACATGAACTACATAATAGAAAATAAACACTTTCTGTCAGAACACTAATAGGCTTATATACAGGAACAACAACAGGCAAATAATAAGTTTTTCTCTAAAGAACAAATTGTAACAGCAAAATAATAAATAAGATGAAGAAAATTCACTTAAAAGACTGCTATGTGTTAATGTCTTTATATAGAAAGATTTAAATAGTTATTAAATTCAGTATGAAAATAACAAACTATGGAAAATTTTCTTTTGAGAGTCTAGAGAGATAAACCAGTCCTGGAGGCAGATACCTGCTCACCTTATTGGCCATGTATCTCCAGCTCCTGATACAGTACCTGCATATTATAGGTGCTCAATAAATATTGAAGAAATGAATGAACCAACCAGTAAATATGTGCTCAACACTGAAAATCTGCAACATACCATTTGAGGCACTGAAGCTGCTTTAGCACATTCTACACTATGCCTTAGACAGGAAAATGGACCTTTCCCTTAGCACGCCACACTGACTCACATTACTCCATTGTGGTGGGCCCTCACCAGGGGAGGCAGAGTGCTGGAGCCCTTGGAGTGGATTCTGGAGCCATACGGCTTGGGTTTGAGTCCCAGCCCTGCCATTTACCAGCGTGTCTCAGGTTCCTGCTTTTGTATGGGAACCTTTCCTCAATAAGGTAGCTTTTACGTATTTTGTTTAAGTAAAGTACCAGCATGTTATGAAATTTTAAGTATCCTTTCTTATTATTCTTTTAAAAAGTGATTTTTTTTAACTGAGAAATGAAAAGTAAAACTACTGACAAATTGACAAAGACTCAGTTTGAGAAGCCAGTTTGTTGGTGGGGCCACAGGGAAGCAGGTGCACACATACCCTGCCCGTGTGCATACAGACCAGTACAGCTCCATCACTCAGTACTCGGCAATGTTTCCCATCCTTCAGCCTCACACCCCTCACCAGGGACCTACCCAAGGACACATGGGAAAAAGCAGGAAATAACATGTGTACAGGGCTGTATGTTGCAGCATTAACTGAAAAGAACAGAGGGTTGGGGACAGCCTGCTATCCACCAGTGCGGACTGGGCAGATCAAGCTGGTCCGTCCACAGGCAGCTGGATGAAAGAATAAAGAAGATCTTCATTTAGTATCGTAGAATGGTCTATGTTATATATTTAAAAAGCAGAGAAAAATATTGTAATCATACTAATGTCATCAGGAACTAGTATTTTCCACATAAGGAGAAAAAACACAAATGTGAAATGAAGAAGTTAAACGAGAATAGAAATATCGTTATGAATCCCTGATGAATATTTTCTTTTAAAACAACAAGAATGGGACGCCTGAGTGGCTCAGTGGTTGAGCATCTGCCTTCAGCCCAGGTCGTGATCCCGGGGTCCTCGGATCGGGTCCTGCATCAGGTTCCCTGCAGGGAGCCTGGTTCTCCCTCTGCCTATGTCTCTGCCTCTCTCTGTGTGTCTCATGAATAAATAAATAAAATATTTTTTAAAATTTAAAAAAATAAAATAAGAACAATGTTTTCTCTCCCTGAAAAGGCCTGGGAAGAATGACCAGCATGGCAGCAAGGGCACCTGGCACTCACATTGTGCTCTCCACACAGAGGACCAGGCCCCTTGGAGATACAGTCGACGTCAGGGCTCAGTAAGCATGTGCAAGGTCACTCTGGAACATCTTCAACAAGAAAGAAGAGCAGAAAACCAGGATCTCATTAGAGGCCCTGGATATTCACTGGCCAAAGATGGGCCAAAAAACATCAAAAAAGAATAATGACTCCAATAGATTAAACCCTATCAGAGGGTTAAGATCTGCATGTTCATTAATGACATCAAAATAGAATAAAACAGGAACCACCTTGATCATCTTGGAGAATAGAGAACTAACACAATCTCCTGAAAAGTAGAAATGAAAGGAGGCTTTCATGTATTTCACCTGCTTTTCCTGAACAAACAGGTAAACAAAGTTCTTTTTTACAGATGGATCTCAACAAATAAGTGCACTAGAAATGATGGAATTAGAATGCCATCACTTTACAGCTCCAGGGAAATGCTGTATCTTGATATTGATCATTCATGAAAAGCTGGTGGGAAATGGATAATGGAGAAATTGGGCCTGACAGAGGTTTGAAACCACTCATCACTCTGAACACCATAAGAGGAGACACGCTCTTCAAATGCCTGCTGATGTCGTATAACAGGAAGGACACACAAAGTATACTCACCAAAAATCAAATCTGGACCTATTTCAGCCTCTAGATCTAACTACTGTAAGCCAGGACATAGCGAACACATTAATCCAGCCAAATTCAGAACCTGGGAAATTCTATAGGACAAATGTCTGTGTTCTAGCCTGACAAGACTGCCATAACCAAAGTGCTACAGCTTAGGACTGAAAAGGGCAGATATTTATTTCCCTAGAGACTGGAAGTCCAAGATCAAGGGCCAAGAAAGTGTGTAGATGATTGACCTCACCCTGTGTATTCATAGCCTCTTCCCTCTCCCCTCTGTCCATCTCTGCGCCCTAATCTCCTCCCCTTACAAGAACACTAGTCATATGCATTCAGGATTCTTCATAGTGGCCTCATTCAGCTGGAATCACACTTTTAAAAGCCTTCATTCCAAACACAGTTGACCCTTGAACAACACGGGCTTGAACTACATGGGTGCACTTACACAGGCATTTTTTTTTTTTTTAGCACAGGACAGCATTGTAAATGTATTTTCTCTTTCTTATGATTTTCTTAACATCTCTTTTCTAGCCTATGTTATTGTAAGAATACAGTATAATACATAGAATATGTGTTAATTGACTGTTTATGTCATCTCTATGGCTTCTTGTCAAAAGTAGGCTATTAGTAGTTACGTTTTGAGGGACTTGAAAAGTTATATGTGGGGGCATCTGGGTGACTCAGGCAATTAAACATCCAGTTCTTTATTTCCATTAAGGTCAAGATATCGCAGTTGTGAGCTCGAGCCCCACCTTGGATTCTACACTCAATGCAGAGTCTGCTTAAGATTCTCTCTCCCTCTTCCTATGCCCCTCCCCCTTCTCCAGCTTACACTCTCTCATTCAAAAAAAGAAAAGTTACATGTGGATTTTTTACCATGTGGGGAGTTGGTGTCCCTGATCCCCCCATGGTCCAAAGCTATACAGTCACATTCTGAGGTACTGGGGGTTAGGGCTTTGTGACATGACTTTTAGAGGGACACAATTTGGCCCATAAAGCCTGGTTTCACAAACAAATGACACGGAGTAGCAGGGAGGAGGTACCTATGAGATTAAACAAACTCAACAAGATATCAATCAAATGTGATGTGAACTTCATGCTACATTTAACACACAATTCAACACATAATCAAAGAAGATGTAAAGCCTACGGGAGGGGTAGAGGGAGAAGAGAGAATCTCAAGGAGGTTCCACACTCAGTGCAGAGCCTGATGTGGGGCTTGATCTCACAACCCTGAGATCATGATCTGTGCCAAAATCAAGAGTCTGATGCTTAACCAACTGAGCCACTTAGGCACCTTAAATAATTGTTAAATACTTTTGGATGTAATAATAGCATTGGGTTTATTTTTTTAATATTAAATAATTTTTTAAATAAAATATTTAAAATATTACCTTTAAAAAATAAAATAAAATATTACCTTTGATATATATTTTATAGATAGAAGAATATGATGTAGAGGATTTCCTTTAAAATCATTGTCAATAATAAAATGCTACTATTCTTTACAAAAATTCACTGCTTATCCTGTTTTGTAGGAATACATGATAGTTTTCTTTTTCATCTCAACTACCAGTTAAATTTCATAAACCAAGTCCCTCCTAATTTAGAAGTTTTCAAAAAAGATTGCTGACATATTTAGGATGGACAAACAGTAAATGTACCTAACAACCTAGAACAGATGATAATCACCTTTTTTAAAATTTAAATTTTAACTCCAACACAGTTAACATAGTGTTATATTAGTTTTGGGTGTACAATATAGTGATTCAACACTTCCATTTTTACTCAGTGCCCATCACAGTAAGTGTCCTCTTCATCTCCTTCATCCCATCCCCCCATCACTCCCCTCCAGGGACCATCAGTGTGTTCTCTACAGTTAAGAGTCTGTCTTTTGGTTTCTCTTTTTTTCCCTTTGTTCATTTATTTTGTTTCTTAAATTCCATGTATGAGTGAAATCATACAGTTTGACTTCCCCTGAATAATTTATTTCGCTTACCATTATACTCTGTAGATCCATCCGTTGCTGCAAATGGCAAGATTTCATTCTTTTTATGGCTGAATAATAGTCCATTGTATATATACACCACCTCTTCTTTATCCATTAGTTAATTGATGGACCTTTTGGGCTGCTTCCATACCTTCGCTATTGTAAATAATGCTGCGATTAATATAGGATTGCATATATTTTTTAAATTAGTGTTCTCCTATTCTTTAGGTAAATACCCAGTAGTGTGATTGCTGGATCATATGGTAGCTCTATTTTAAACTTTTTGAGGAATCTCCATACTGTCTTCCACAGTGGTCTTTCTGTTTGCATTCCCACCAACAGTCCATGAGGGTTCTTTTTTCTCTACATCCTCACCAATACTTGTTGTTTCTTGTGTTTTTTATTTTAGCCATTCTGACAAGTGTGATGTGGTATCTCATTGCGGTTTTAATTTGCATTTCCCTGGTGATGAAAGATATTGAGTTCCTTTTCATGTGTCTGTTGGCCATCTGGTTGTCTTCTTCAGAGAAATGTCTGTTCATATCTTCTGCCTATTTCTAATTGGGTGTTGAGTTTTAGAAGTTCTCTATATATTTTGGATACTAATCCTCTATTGGATATGTCATTTGTAAATATCCTCTCCCATTCAGTAGGTTATCTTTTTGTTTTGTTGATTCTTTCTTTTGTTGTGCAGAAACTTTTTATTTTAATCAAGTCCCAATACTTAATTTTTGTTTTTGTTTCCTTGCCTCAGGAGTCATATCTAGAAAAAAGTTGCTATGGCCAATGTCAAAGAAACTACTTCTTGTGCTCTTTTCTAGGAGTTTTATGTTTTCAGGTCTCATATTTAGATCCTTAATCCATTTTGAATTTATTTTTGTGTATGGTATAAGAAAGTGATCAAGTTTTCCCAGGACTATTTGTTGAAGAGACTGTCTGTTTCCCATTGCATATTATTGCCTCTTTTGTTAAAGATTAATTGACCGGGATCCCTGGGTGGCGCAGTGGTTTAGCGCCTGCCTTTGGCCCAGGGTGCGATCCTGGAGACCTGGAATCGAGTCCCACATCGGGGACTGCTTCTCCCTATGCCTGTGTCTCTGCCTCCCTCTCTCTCTCTCTCTCTTTCTCTCTCTTTCTCTGTGTGACTATCATAAATAAATAAATTTAAAAAAAATAAGAAAAAGATTAATTGACCACATAACTGTGGATTTATTTCTGGGTTTTCTGTTCTGTTCTATTGATCTGTTTATCTATCCTTGTGCCAGTACCACACTGTTTTGATTACTACAGCTTTGTGTTTTATCTTGAAATTTGGAATTGTGATACCTCCAGCTTTGTTTTTCTTTTTCAAGATTGCTTTGGCTATTTGAGGTCTCTGTGGTTCCATATAAATTTTAGGATTATTTGTTCTAGTTCTATGAAAAGTGCTATTGGTATTTTGATAGGGATTGCATTAAATCTGTAGATTGCTTGTGGTAATATAGATATTTTAACAAAATCTATTCTTCCAGTCCACGAGCATGGAATATTATTCCATCTGTTTGCATTGTCTTCAATTTATTTCATCAATGTTTTAAAATTTTCAGAGTACAGTCCTTTCACCCCTTTGGTTGAATTTATTCCTAGGCATTTTATTATTTTTGGTATAATTATAAATGGGATTGTTTTCTTAATTTTCTCTTTCTACTGCTTCATTATTGATGTATAGAAGTGCAAAGGATTTCTATACATTGATTTTGTATACTGCAACCTTACTTAATTCATTTATCAGTTCTAGTAGTTTTTTTGGTAGAGTCCTTAGAGTTTTCTATATTTAGTATCATATCATCTGCAAATTGTGAAAGTTTTATTTCTTCCTTACCAATTTGGATGCCTTTTGTTCCTTTTTCTGGTCTGATTGCTGTGGCTAGGATTTCCAGCACTATGTTGAATAAAAGTGGTGAGAGTGGACATCCTTGTCTTATTCCTGACCTTAGGGGAAAAGCTCTCAGTTTTTCCCATTGAGACTGAGATTAGCCATGGGTTTTTCACATATAGCCTTTATTATGTTGAGGCATGTTTTCGCTAACCCTACTTTGTTAAGGGTTTTTATCATGAATGGGAGTTGTACTTCGTCAAATGCTTTTTCTGCATCTATTGAAATGATCATGTGGTTTTTTTCCTTTCTCTTATTGATGTGATATATCACATTGATTTGCAAATATTGAACCACTCTTTCATCCTGGTAATAAATCACACTGATCATGGTGAATGATTTAATCAAATGATTAAATGTATTCTTGGATTCAGTTTGGTAGTATTTTGTTGAAGATTTTTATATGTATGTTTATCAGACATATTGGCCTGTAGTTCTATCGATTACCATTTTTTTAACTTAATTTCACCACAAATGTGAAGTTCTACTTTAGAGACAAAAACAGAAATGCTAAAAAGTTGTCCAGATTGGAAATGAAAGAGTTCATCTTATATTCTATGGTTTCTGGCGGAAATTAGTTCTTGGGAATTTTAATCACATGATACTTTTAAAAAAACAAAAATCAATTGCATTTGTAAGTCATAAAGTATAGCTAGAATTAGACTTTAAAAATTAAAAGAGTAGGAAAACAAAAAGAAAATATTAGAAATCTCCTGAATCAAGAAAAGCAAAACAAAGTTTTGTCATTCCTTTCCATTTTTAATAAGAATGTAACCAGATCATAGTCTCTAAAGAATAAGGAACAGCACCACAGAAATGACACTTGGCACCTGCTTTGGGGCAGGGTGACAAAGGTCATGGTGGCCTATTCTACTACTAACCACAACTGCAGAGCCTAACAGATCACACAAGTTACACTTTAAGAGAATCAATGGGCCACAGCAGTGACTAGACCCAATGCACTGAGACTGTGCATGGAGAACCAACCAGAGGTGAGCTGCAAGGGGCACTTGTGGTTCCTCAGAAGCATTTGCAAATCCTGGTCAAACCAGAGGTTGTTCACTGGGAGAGGGGGACACATACAGCCACTCTCCAGCTGCTCCCACCTGGGACTCTCAGCAAGAGTCCCAGGTGGGAGCAGCTGGAAGCTGAGCCAAGACTTTTGGGCCCCTGGAGCCTCTGCAGGGACACAGACAACAGTAAAACTCTGGCACACCCAGCACTGCAAAGACAGAGAGACCCAGGGCCCTCAAAAACAGGGCCAGCTTCATCTTCAAAATATCAGGAAACATAATCTAGCAATCTATGTAACAGCTCATTATGCCCACATTGGATTTATTTCAGAAATGAAAGGTTAGTATAATATTTGAAAATTAACTATATTAATAGAAAAAAAGAACATCATATAATCATCTTGATGGAAAAGGAATGACACAATTCAACAACTGTTATTTTTTTAAAAAGCAAAATTCTTGAGGTGCCTGGGTCTTAGTCAGTTAAGCATCTGCCTTTGTCTCAGGTCATGATCCCAGAGTCCTGGGATCCTGCTCAGCGGGGAGTCTACTTCTCCCTCTCCCTCTGCTCCTCCCCTTGCTCATGCTCTTGCACTCTCTCTCTCAAATAAATAAGTATAATCTTTTTTTTTTAAGGAAAATTCTAAGGGGCCCCTGGGTAGAAATACACCTCTAAGACAAAAAGTAAGATGTGGGCCAACAGCAAGAAGTAGGAGAGAGAAAAATGTTCTTACTGTGAGTTTATTTTAATATGTTTCTCAAACTCTTAACTGAAATGAACTAATTTCAGTTAATTAAATTAATTGAAATTTATGACCAACTCTGCTTCTTGCCTAAATACAGGGGGAATGACAATGTTATCTCCATTATGTTTTCAAAAGAACACATACGAAAGAGTTTCTCTTTTTGTTGTTTTATCTGTTCTGCAACAATAGGCTAAGTCCACATTAACTTTCTATAACCAAGTCTCTCTTAACAAAGTCTTACACTTTAGATGTGAAAAGCTCACTCACCACGGTCATCGAGGAGAATATTCTCAGGCTTTAAGTCTCTACAAAGGAAGAGACAACAACAAAAAGCTCAATTATTCAGAAAGTGACACTGTGATTCATCAGCACCCAGCAGAAACAACCATAGATGTCTCTACTATGAGCAGCGGCAAGAGCAGGATGACAAAACTGTCCTTTGTGGGTCATGAGTCCTTTGTGCTGTTGCTGGGAAGGACCAGGACTCCATGAAGGATTATCTCAATGAACACAGTACGTATGATAGCACTGTGCAAACCACTCTGCCCAGGTCTACAGACCTGACTGAGACAGTTCAGTGATGGAAGGTACAGCCCTGTAGTAAGGAACTAGTCCTTCATGAACTTGGCTCAATTTCTCTTATCATTCATATACTTTTTAAAATGTCAACACCTGAAAATTTCCCATACCTGAAGAACACAGCTTCAGGGGTCAGACAGGCATAGATTTGAATGCTAACTCTGCTGCTTCTCTGCCATGTGACCTGAAGTGCTCCCAGCCACAGTGCGCTCCCCTGGAACTTTATGTGATCCACACCCACCCACCTCCCCAGCAATGCGGGGTTGGAGAGATCAGGCCTGGCAGCAGGAAGCCTGTAATCACAGCAGTAACTGTTACTCAGTTTATTGTGGAGGAGGAGGGGTACCGAAGACTGAATAAATACAGATCATTAAAGACTAAAATATCTTAGATGTAATATTTCAAACTGCTTATTTGTTTCTTCCCTTTGAAAAAAAAGATTTAGTTTTTAGAGGATTTATACTTAACTCTGATTTCAAATGCAGCCCTATCACAACTCTCCCTCTCCCCTGAACATCGCCCCTCCATTGTGACCAGATTACTAGAACCTCCACACAAAAGCAACAGCAGATGGAAGACGGCTGAACTTGGGAAAGCTCTGTAAAGAGACAGAACTGAGAGCTAGCTGCAGTGAGACCTTCCAATACCTCGAAAGGCCATAATTAGTGTAAAACCTGCTCAACTCAAACCCACACCACCAGGAAAAGATGACAAGAGACCCTGTTAGCAGCTCAGGGAGATGTGAACACACGCATGAGTGGCTGCAGAGAAACCTTCCTGTAGCAACCATGCCACCATGCTCAGTCCTGCTCACAGAAGCAGAGAGGCAGGTGGCTTCTGTGTTTGCATTTTCCAGCCATGTGCATATGCTCCTGCACTATCTGGATGGGATGATGAGCATTTTTTATTTCCCCTTTATTCTTTTCTGTATTTTTTTTTTAAAAAAAACCTTATAAATGTTATTAAAAACAAAGTAGCCTTCCTTGACAGGGAACCTCCACAGCCTCCTCATTTATGTAGGTTCGTACTCAGCATCAACACAACACCTGTCCCCCAAATTACTTTAAATGTCTCCTGGGACATCTTAAACCCCACTGCTCCTAGTGTGGGCCAGTGCTGCTGCAGAGAAGAAAGCAAGCTGCAGGCCAGTGAGAGAGCCCCTGCCCCAAACCGGCCCTCCAGCCATCCACCCAACTGTCACCTAGCACTGCCAGTCAGCTGGCTCTAAGAGGAAGTGTGTTGTATCTGTTTCACAAAGGAGCAACAGTGGTGCAGTAATAACATCAGTGACTCACCAAATACCCGCCACACATGCCACAGGCACCATCTCCTGTTAGAGCCACAAAATATCTGGGAAGCAGCTGTAGACAGGGGGCTAGCAGAGTCCAGTGGGCCACACAGAAGCTAAATGACAAGCTGGAACAAAGTGCAAAGCGACCCTCACTTGCCCCACCCCGCATGCTGGGCGCTGGATGCGTACAAGTATCAAGTGCCACAGCAGTAGGCCTCAGGGTATTGTCATTTCCTGTACCTTCCTTCAAAAATGATTTTTTCAGGCTTTTTTTCTTTTTTAAAAGATTTCATTTATTTATTCATGAGAGACACACAGAGAGAGGCAGAGGGAGAAGTAGGCTCCCTGGTGTGGGACTCAATCCCAGGACCCTGGGATCATTCCCTGAGCCCAAAGCAGATGCTTAACCACTGAGCCACTCAGGTGCCCCTGTTTTCTCTAGGCTTTTAATCAACTTAACAGCTATCTTCACATATCTCCAAGTTTGGGCACAGGGCACTGTGTGGAGGATGCTGAACAATGCCTCACCACTGTCAGCCACTCAGCCTCCAGGATGTGGCTTCCTCAACTGTCAAGTGAAGGGGTTTCCTACTGATCTTTTCAGTTCCTTTTGGATTGCAAAGTGATGATCTAATTATAATCTTAAGCCAGGAATACAAATTTAGGTCAACATCCTGTATAGGAGGGTCCAGCCAAAGCTGAGATTAAAAGAAGTGAGACTGTCTTCTTACATTTGTACAACCTGCCACCCCCAGCCTGCTGACTTGGGTATAACTTGTACATCGTTTGTTGTGCTCTCAGGTCATTAGAAGTGATCTCATACCTCCACGCTCTGGTACACCAGAAACACATTTTGCTGGTTTCATGTCCATTCTTTTTGTTAAAAAAAGTACTTGCCATCTGGATCCCATTTCCCAGCCAGTTACTGAGGCATGAATTATCATGAGAAGTTGATTTCCAGGAGACCGAGGCTTGAACCATTGCCTGGTCCATGGCTCATCTGCATGACTGTCCTCCCTTGTCCCAGGCCATATCTGCATCCCACTACCCTGCTTTCTCCTGGTGACCCTCTGTCTCCCACTATCACCTTACTCCCCACTGGTTCCTGTCAGTTAGCCAGCCTCTCCTGGGGAGTAAGGTTGTATGTGAACAACCGGCTGGATATGCTTTGGGAATCAGGTGAAGAGAATGATGTAGGCTGGCCCAACCGCAGGTGAGGGTTTCCTCAACCCCTGCATAACTAGAACTTCAGTACAGTCTATATAGACCACAGTCTTGGGGGGGGGGGCACCTGGGTGGCTCAGTGGTTGAGCATCTGCCTTCAGCTCAGGTCTTGATCCCAGAGTCCTGGGATCAAGTCCTACATCGGGCTCCCTGCGGGAAGCCTGCTTCTCCCTCTGCCTCTGCCCTCTCTCTCTGAGTCTCCCATGAATAAATAAATAAAATCTTAAAAAAACAAAAAAAAAGACCACAGTCTTGGAAAACAGCTCCAATCTGATCAGAAGGCATCAAGAACAATGTTCTTGATCAGGGAAGGGGCAGAGTAAGGGAACCAGGGTAAAAATAAGTTTGGCTCCCTCCCTAATGTTCTCCTAAACATTCTTCAAGATAATATTACTCACTAGTCTCAGGGCATGATTCTAAGGTCTGTCCCTGTCGCCTGCCTCCCACCATGCACTCCCCCCTCAGAGAAGCTGACTTGCCTAAGAGTCTCCAGGGAATGGGTCTGTTACTATTGTTTTTATTTTTTATTTTTTTACTATTGTTTTTATTTTATTTTTATTTTAATTTTTTTAATTTTTATTTATTTTATGATAGTCACACAGAGAGAGAGAAAGAGGCAGAGATATAGGCAGAGGGAGAAGCAGGCTCCATGCACCGGGAGCCCGACGTGGGATTCGATCTGGGGTCTCCAGAATCGCGCCCTGGGCCAAAGGCAGGCGCCAAACTGCTGCGCCACCCAGGGATCCCTTTACTATTGTTTTTAGAGACAGATACTGTGAGGCAGAAATTTTCAATCTGGAATAATGTAGGTCATATATGGATGAATAGTTCTTTTAAACATTAAGATCTGCCATTCTTGGGATGCCTGGGTGGCTCAGTTGTTGAGCGTCTGCCTTGGGCTTAGGGCATGATTCTGGGATCGAGTCCCTCATCTGACTGCATGAAGCCTGCTTCTCCCTCTGCCGTGTCTCTCTCTCTGTGCATCTCTCATGAATAAATAAAATGTTTTTTAAAATCTGCCATTCTTTTTTTAAATTTTTACTTTAAATTAGCTTCCATGTTTTGAAAACAATAGAAACGAGATTATCCTTTGAGTACTTACTGTGAATGGTAAGCATATCTCCATTTTCTTTGCATGCTACCTTTCTAGCCTCTACGTTGTAAGTTTCCTGAGGACAAGGACTTCAAAATCCAATTTGCTCCCCAGAGTGTGCATCTAGCACGCAACTAAGAAGTGTGTATACATCTGGGACTTGATGTATATTTCTGGAATGACTGAATGGTCTTTCCTGCTACTGAAAACTCTAATGTGATAGTAATAATCTGTACTGCCTAATGGCCTGTATCGGCCAATTCACTACTGAAAAAGTATAGGTCTGAAATGTTTCCTTCCCACCAGGAGTCTGTACACCAACTGCCTTCTCCTCACAGTGGATCATATCATCTACTTGTCAACCCACATAGAGATCCAATATATAGCTAAACATCTATTTCCCTTAATAATTTCCAACTATAGCATTCTAAACAGGTGGAAATTTCATCCTGTTTAATTAAGGAAGAGTCAACTTTCTAGAGAAATGTAACAAAACAGTAAAAGTACCACGTTAAGACTCAGGTTTTCTCTCCTGCTACAGGAAAGAGTGAAATACAAAGCACAGAGCACAACATCTGCACTGGTACCCATCACCCACCAGGAAGGTGACAAGAGCCATCTGTCATCTGTAAATAGACATAATCCTTCAGAAGACTGTCGGCAGGATACCATGATAATGTGTGCCAGAGTGCTCTGAAAATGCCGTGTGCTCTACAAAGAAATGCTGTTAGTATATATTTTGACTATATCCAGAAATAATTTTTGTTATTCATATCATAATGAGTGGTTTTCTTTAAATACAGAGATACATGGAAACAAAGTAAAATGGCATGTACCATAAGTTTAGTTTGTTCATCATTATAAAATTAAACCCTAGAAATCATCCTGATTGAACAACTACTTTTAGTGTTGTGAAAATTAATAAAAGGAAACTTTGTTTACAATAGAGTCTGCAGGCAGGCAGGGGGAGCTCCAGGCTCTACCACTCCCGGTCATCTGCAGACTCAACAGGAGATGCACCAGCACCTGGATGTTACCTTAGCTCCCACTTTACCATCCCAACAGTAGGAAGGAAGGTTTCCTCCTCCCCCAGCAACAGTCCAGCCAACGAGAGACAG